CTTTTGACACAAATGCCGCGACCATCTTTTTCGAAACACTTCGAGAACGGATGACTTTTGTTGGCTTTTCTTCACCTTGGAACACCCAAACAGTCGAAAGTCGTTTATTTTCTGGTTCATAATAGTATATCCACGATTTATCGCTACTAACAATGCTGTACACATTTTTTGAGTTTCCAGAATTGGAACGGTCAAGCGCTTTTGACACCAGTTAACCCTGGCTGCTTTCTGCTCTTCAGTCAACAGGTGGGGTATCCAACGAGAAACTAATTTTCTTACTCCTAATCCTTCATGTACAATTTTTTGAATTGAGGTCTTTGAGATCCTCAAGGACGCCTCAATCTCGCGATATGTCACATGTCTATCTTCAATGATGAGTTTGCGCACAGCATCCACGTTTTTCTGGGTGACTGCCGTTTTTGGTGCACCCACCCTGGGATCGTCGCTAAGACTCACCCGTCTACGTTTGAATTGTCCATACCAACGGCAAATTGCGATAATTGTCTCTGAAAGTTGTAATAAATTATGGCGCGAAAATGTTCTCGTATGAGTTCCATTTTTCTAATGAGTTGGTGACACTTAAAAATTCACTGTAGTGAGAACACTGCACGTATTGTTGTGAAGCTTTGAATTTAAGTTTACTAAAGAGTGTGGTTAAGATTCAGTACTGACGTTCGATCCGCGCGGCCTAGTATGTTTCTACATGCAAAACTTAAAAGACATCTCTCGTAAAGGGTGGGCCATCAGTTGGTTTTTTAAGTTGGTATTATTTTGACTCTCATGCTCAACATATTGACAGATATATTAATCAAATTCAAGCGAATAACCAAATGAAAGTGGTATTTACCATTTTGGATTGGTATTTACCAACGTATTTACCGATTCGTTCAAGCGAGTGTGGTTATTAGTTTGGTTATAGGATCCGTGATGTGATGAATCAGCTGTTATATGTCATAGTTACCGCAAAATTGTGGTATTTACCCAACTCAGGAGTAGTTTTATATTTCTGGTTATTACTTGAAATGTGACAAGTTAGAATTCTGCCGGGTATTGGATATTTTTGTTATACTTCAGCTTCACTTTTGGGAAACTTGATACAGGCTGACTTCAGTTGTAGCATAAAGTAGAGCACCGTATTAGTTATACTCATTACTGTTATTGGGGACACTTTAAATCTAGTTACTTGACAAAGTATCCTATGTAGCCATATACCACAAGAATATTAAAATATGGCCATATAAACTCACTGGAGAATGTCCACCTGTATAGGGTTTTTCCTATCATTTCTGCTAAATCAATTAATGTTTTCTTTGAAATGCAGAAAAGTTTAGAGAATTGAAAGTTATCATAGCTACAAAGCCATGGTTCCATAATTAAAAATTATTTTCTGAAAAAAAATACATTTCTCCCATTAATATTATGAAAGGTTTCTTTTTTAAGCTTCCCATACACTGTTGTAGACGAAAAAGCACCGATTATTACAACAACTTGCAACAAAACCGCGGTTAAAACCAACGCGTTCAAGCGATTCGAGTAACTGACTTCATCAACCCGTGTGTCATCTTAAGCATATTATAACCGCGGTACATAACACAGAAATTTTGGTTATTCGCTTGGATTTGATTATTGTGTCAAACTCCTGCTGTGAACAATGGGTCGCTTTAATCTTGAAAAAAGGTGGTTAATATTGAAAAACTATTTTCAAAGTGAGTGCTGTGTTGCAGAAACTTTGCGAGAATTGAAAAGACCATTTGGTCGGAATGAAGCTCCGTCCGCGACTGGTATACGAAAATTCGTGAAGAAGGTTCGTGAAACTGGCCTGCTTGTGGATAACAGAACGTATAAGCGAGTGCGACCCATACGTACAGCCGAAAACGTTGATGCTGTTGCCCAGAGTGTGCGTGAAAACGCAAGAATATCAACTCTTCACAGAGCACAAGTGGGCATCAGTCGCACTGTGCGGAGAATATTGCATAACGACCTGGGATTACTTCCTTACAAGGTGCAACTTGTGCAAGAGTTGAAACAAAATGACCATCCGCTTCGATATCGTTTCTCTGTGTGGGCTCTAAATCAATTGGAAACGGAAGTTTGGTCGCGAAATCATCTTTTCGGACGAAGCCCATTTCCATCTGGGAGGTTACGTTAACAAGCAGAACTGTAGGATTTGGGGTTCTGAAAATGCGTCCCAAAAGACTATTTATTTGGTGTGGCTTTTGGAGTGGTGGGCTTATTGGTCCCTACACTAAGTTCGGTCATCGCGTTATCAGCCGTTTTGGAGACGTTCATTGGCCAGGCATCTGTGATTGACGCCCATGGATTACTTCCTTTGGGGTACTGTTAAGGACCGCTGTTACACTAACGAACCTCAAACAATTGATGTTCTTAAGGAAAATATCCGTCGAGCTATTGATGAAATAGACCCACAAACTATCGAAAATGTGCTTCAAAATTGGGTTAAAAGAATGGACTTCTGCCAGGCCAGCCGTGGCAGCCATTTAATTGAAATTATTTTTTATAAATAATCGTATAAAAGTATCTAGTGTTACATATTTTTGAAGAGTGTAGTTTTAATACCAATTTAAAAAAAGAAACCATCGGATGGCCCACCCTTTATATATCTTATATAAAACCTTTTTTTTAAGTTTAAACTTTTTTTATTTAAAAAACATTTATATACATATACGTTTTATTTAATATATTCAGTTTTCATTAAAAACACGATTTATGTTGGATTTACTTTATACGGACACCCCTCTTGTACGGACACTTTCAGTCGGTCCGTTGGTGTCCGTCCAAAGGAGATTTTAGTGTAGAGTATTTGAAAGATTGGTGGTCTATGAAGCTAGTCATGTTGAACAAAAGAGAAACGGGGTTTTCGACACTGTAAATAACTCATTTTAGACCGTTTTAGAAGTCACAAGACGCATGGTCACAACACTTTATACCTCAAATCTATAAGAAAACCTACTGAGACACAAAACATTATTAACCCTCTATCGGGCACCTCCGGAATGTTTTGTCACGTAATCGTATGGTTCCATGTACTTCAAAAACTCTATTTCTTTAATTCCACGTATGCTATGCAATTAAAGGCAACGCTATCGTATGGTCACAAGTAAGCTTAGAAGAGGGAAATAACGTACATTTAGTTTGCGCACCAATTTTACGTTTGACATCGATATTATTGCTCCTGCATCGGCGTATGTGTGACTTTGTATTGCCAGTCAGTGCAAACACAAGTGATTTTATATTAGATTATTGAATGAGATTTTAAAAATTACAGTGTTGGGGTCAAAATACTTTAGGTAAGTTACTGTGATATATAACTTTGAATAGATATGGATAGTTTGAAAATTCTTTAATACGGAACCATATGGTTACATCGCCCACAGGAATGCGCCATTTTCTTTACAGTTTCCCGCCAATTTATGAAAAATAAATCAGGATTTCGATGAAATTCCTTCTTGTTCGTTTTACCGTAAGAAGAAATGTAAGTTACCACCATTACCACAAGTTTATATGATTCTGATAAAGAAGAAAATTTTACATTGAAGAATCTCAGAAATAAAATAATGCACACCAGGCAACCAAACTTAGCTTGCGATGACGGCAAAAGAACAAGAAGTATGCGATATCGATTCTGATTCCCAAGAAGATGTTTTTGAACCTAAGCCTGAGCCAGAGTCTGAGCCAGCTGAAAAAAGAAAAATCAAGATATGGATTTTAGTTGGATTTACTAAAAGTTGATCGAGCTTGCAATTTTATCCCCAGTACTATAGGTTTGTCTCAATGCAAAACTGAAAGCAGAAAATCAAGAAGCAGCTACTCTGAAACCTCAACTGCAGTCTGCGGTCATACAGCGTCATGTTACGGAAATGCCAGACGCTTCAACAAGTGGTGATTGCTACGCACACTTTGTGTCAAGGGTACAAGTAGACTAAAATGTGAAAAGTGCGATGCGAGATTGTGCCTCACGGACTCATAAAATTGTTTCAAGGCATTTTATTGTAAATGAAGCCTTACTTTTTTATGTTTTCATTTTCGCATAAAATGAATAAAATATTTTGTACATAAAAAAAGTTGTTTTTGTGGGCCTTGTGACCATATGGATACAATCTGTTATTATGTTATTATCATAAATACAATAATAAATTAATTGAAAATAGAGTTTAAAATGGCTCATTACACAGCAGTGAAATATTTCTATTTTCGTAAGGCGCTTTGATGTACCGTCCGGTACGGGGGTACAAGAATGTATGTAATCATATGGCTACTGCAACCGATAAATGGTTAAAATAAATGTTGCTCCATTGAGCTCACATTAAAAACAGAAGTTGAATCCTCATAAATAATTATATTGATTTCAACTTTTGTTTTTAATGTGAGCGAATAGGGAAGGAACACTTATTTTTGTATTAGATGTCTTCCATCTCAGTGTGTTTTATTATAGATTTTAAGTATGCGCTCATATAGAAATACTAAATATTCGTAAATGGTTGAAAAATACCAAAATTGCAAACTCTGTGCTCTTAGAAAAGAGCCAAGTATTAAAATAAAAAGGAAAATGATGAAATTTTAAAAAACATATGTACATCCATGCGATCAACTTGAAATTGGGGATATTCCGAAGATCCCATGTCCCATATTTTGGAAGCTTACGGAATGATTGAAGGAGCGAAATGCTGGTCGGGGATCTGCCAATCCCAATTTTAAAAAAACATATGTACATCCATGCGATCAACTTGAAATTTGGGATATTCCGAAGATCCGAAGAATCACCTCTTGAACTTTGTCCCATGTTTTGGAAGCTTACGGAATGATTGACGGAGCGAAATGCTGGTCGGGGATCTGCCAATCCCCCCCTCCCATTATTTACTATCCAATTACAAAACGATTTTTATTTACAAGTTCTCTAATCTTAGCATATTCCAGAACTAGAAGATCTTTTATACAGATTTCACCCCAAACATTTAAACAATAAATCTAGATATATTCACCTTGATCCTATTGTAGACATTCTCTGCATATCCTATTCCTGTCTCCACGATGGGCAGATTGGTTATCCTGTTCACGGATTCCAACTCCTGGAGAGAGAACTGTTTCCTCGTGGTGGGAGCCACTGAAAAGATCGCAGACAAGGCTAAGCTGTAGTTGTGGGCTACCATAATGATGTTGCGGCAAACCGGATGACACAATGATAAATTGAATAGTGGTGTGGTTGCGTTTATATGTTAACATTCAGGATGGAACATCGTGCGCACAGATAAAGGGTCAAAGGGCGTCTTTCTTTTGTATGTGCAATAGTCCAGCGTGATATAGTGAGCGATAGTCCAGTGAAAGTGATCCAACCACTCGATTTGTTACCACTAATAATGTACACACGGTAATCATCATAGGGAATACAAATAAGTGAAAAATGGAAACAAATTGAATATGTCGCTTGGTGTGTAATATTGCCGATAATATATTCTACAATCTATAATCTGCCGATAATGCTATTGCCATTTATCACTATATGTGCATCGGATCAATGCTATAAGGCACCTCCTTGTTTATTTTGACGGGGAGTATATGATAAAAATTTAACTAGGGTGAAAGTGCCAGCAACCCGGAAACTATCAGTAGTCGGAAAAATGTTATATTTTTGGTAAAAACTTGAATATTACAAATCCTATATTTGCTGGTAATTGGTACCAGATTTATCAACGAATTTGTGACAGTTTACAAAAATTTCACATCCACAGTGGTCATATTAACAACAGTATTAGCGCGTCAAAAACAGCAAGCATTCGATTCCTCAATTTATGTCACATGTGTAGTGTGTGACATAAACTTTAAAGGCAAGTAGAATCGTCAGCTGACAATATATTATTGTATGTAGTATTGGTCTTGATACACATGCAGAATACATTCAAAATTTACGAAATAAACCAATCTTAATATGTTATTTTAACATTTTGCGGTCAAATTGGAGTGGCCGCTGACTGGATCATCATATTAGTTAAAATTCAATAGTCGTACAAGTGCCCGACTATTGGAATGGCGTGGTCGTTATTAATCTGTATTTATTTTTCTCTTTAAACATAGAAACTATCAAACATTTCTCTTTGAATTAAACAAACCAAAATACGACTGAAGCCCCTGCAAGTGGACAGATAGCGAAAGATAACAAATAATGAGGATTATGGCCAATGATATTGTGTCCAACTAATGGAATGAACGAATTTTTATTTTCAATTTCACGAGACTGTGAAATAAAATTTCACGTTTCCATTTCATTCGGGAACTGATACCAAGAAAAAAATAAATTCTGTATTCATAGTGAAGGCAGGCTTAAGTCGAAGCTGTGAGGAATTGCTTGAAATTTGTAATAATAATAATAATAATAATAATAATAATTTATTCATCCTGTGGATCGCAAAGTGATATAGGATAAGTCAATTGAATATTTGTATAAACAGAATTGCCTACATACATAAATAACATTCAAAACATCAAATAAAAACACGAAGTGTATAAACATGAAAACGAATTAAAATATAAATTAACAAATTAAAATAATTAAAAAAGACTATCACTCATTAAAAACTCTTCTATAGAGTAGAAAGCTTTATCAAGTAAAATTTGCCTGGGGATGGTAGTTCAAATTCGTCTGTGCAGGACCGGATTAAAGGACATAATTAGTTTCTTGTTCATTTTTAGCTAGATTATACCTATGAATTTTTGATAAAATATCTACTGTAAATGGACTCAGTATGAGTGTGTTTAATTTTTTTCCCTCAAAGTCTTAATGACAGCCGACTTGAAATTTCTATTCTACTATCACAAATTTTTAAATACTTTTCTATCTAAAACTGCCCAATCAAAGCTATCCGACAATTTCAAACTAGCCGGCCGAAGTAGCACCTTCTGTCCGAGTACTGACAAAATATCGTCTTTTTGATTAATCATTTTTTTATAAAATTACAGAAATATATATATTTGTTGTCGGCGAAAAGTTAACAACATATACGATCACCTCCTGAAGTATTAGTTGTGTTAACTTGAACACAAAATTCGTAATGACACTTTGAATGCCACTTTTGTCTTAACTGTCCGACCACTGGTACATTCACCCTACATTATATATAGTAACCCACCTTTAGTCCTTACATCCGTACTATGATGGAATATTCCGATGCGGAGGGCCGATGTCTGTTGTCGAAAGGCTGTTAGAAATCATAATATAATTTGGTCTGGTCTACTGTTACAGATTGTGTTAGGCCAAGCAATCAGCTGATTCTCTGACACCTGATATAGCTGCGATAGTCGTTTACCTTAACTTGAAATATCTTGTCATAAACAGGAGTGGCGTAACTGATATTGATTTGTCGACTCAGGTACGTACGTGTACGGATTGAAAACGTCCTCGTTGTTAAATTATAGAATTGAAACAGTCTTTCATGATTTTCCATTTTATCCACATATTTTTTCATAGATAATTTTTTCAAGTTCATTGTTTTTTATTATTATTTTCATGTACTTTTCAGACCTTACAACTTGACCTACTATTTTTTATCACTTATGAAGGCCCGCCCACATGTGCGAAATCAATTTCTATATAGCATTTTGAGTTGGTTATGAATCTGCTGTCAAATGTGGTAGCTGCTGATTTGTTATAGGAAGTCATTGCTTGTGTCTATTCCTTGAAACGCCGCTGCGTTGAATTGCCAGCGGTAGCGTTAGATTGCTATAACTTGTAGCACCCCCTGCAACCCCTAACCCCCAATTTATAAGCACTACAAACATTTTGAAAATGATCAGAACCGTCTGAAACTTCAAGAATCGTTTGATCGATCCTTATTTTTTCTTCGTTTTTGGCCTTTTTCTTCTCCGCCACTGGATCGGCTTTCAAAAACTATGAAGCTTTTGCGTCCTTGGCATAGTATTAAAATTGTGTAAAAATTTCATCGGTACTTCTCAAGTTATATCTGGTTATAGGATTAACTGACAGACCGACAAACAGACAGACAGTCCGACGGACATGAGTGACATGGTTTTTCGTTATGTACAAGTCATATAACACAAAAAAGTATACATCTCAGTTTCGAAAATTTCCGCGAAAAAAAAAAGGTAAAACGTTTGAAGGTGACATTTTATAGGAAAACCTACATAATGTCATGAAAAACCAATATATGTACGTCACCTTTTAAGTAATGTAATACGGATGCGGGGTAGATACTCTGGCTGAAAATACTGAACGTACACAGGTTGTTTCGTCCAATAAAGATCCAGTTAAACGAAACCGCTTTAAGAACTGGTCCAAAAACTAAACTAATGCATATAGCGTCCCATTTCGAAAAAGCCAAACATATAACTGGCCTATGCAAATAACTAACCTCCTAACACGTCAACATATTTTAGCATTATATGGCAACACAACTAGTTCAAATTGCAGACCCTATATATCTTATACAATTGAATTCAATGGAACCCCACATAGTTTCTGGTTTTAGTTTTCAGGATGCAATGACAAATTATATAGATTATGTATATCATTTTATTCGTTCTCTCAGCGTGTAAACCTTTCCTGTATTATAATGAATGATTTAGAGGGGTTTATAGCATACATGCTTCAGTTTGTGTTTCACACGAAACATATCGTTTGATGATAACGTTCGGTTGATCAGGCAGTTGGGGTGTACTGCCTGAGCTGTGCATCATCGAAGATCGATTCAAATATCGAATTGGACGTTTTTTTCTACTGTGGTGCACCATTATCCTAAAAATAAAAAAAAGTATGAGTTCATCACAGTTGAAGCTCAAACTACTTTGGAGAAAAAAATCATGTATTTGTTCGTCAGATACAGCCTAGTCATAACCATGCCTCTATCGATTCCTTTTATCAAGTATCACAACGGATTCACAAGAACATGGAAATGAATCATTCAAACACTTATTGAAAGGATATCAAGCGGAAAAATTTGAGCGTTGATTCTTTGTATTGTTCCAAGACTATTTTGTTCTTTGATAATTTTCAAAAGACGGTTTGACAATACAGGACAAATAAATTTTTGGAAAATGATATTTTTCGTTATCAAAAATTACATGTGAAGTTTTTTACTCTATAAAATCTGCTCCAACTAGAAGTTATAGTCAGTTAAAGTCTATGGAAAATACCAGCGTGATTTCACATTAAGTCTTTCCAGTGGGCTAATACGAGTAGGTACTAGCAACTTTAGATGACCCCACTGGGAGGCCTAGAAGATTTAAGATTGGAGATCAAGTAGGCTATAAGCACGAAGTCAGATGTTTCCAAAGCATTTTTAGTTGCACTCCATTTGACCTAAATGAATTATACCATGTCCCTCGTCTGCGAAGGCAGGTGGAAGCATGCAAATAGAATAAGAAAACCAATGAATCAATAATTACCTGAATTCTAATTAACTGAAAGTTTTACTATTAAAAATATATTTATATAAGTAACTGATATTGTGAAAAAAAGACAGGCAAAATTGTCTTTATCTATGAGATGGATGAGCTTGCACATTTTTACAAAGCCGTCAATCCTGGGCTGAACTAAAGAACGTGCGCCACGTAGATCACTAGCAATGTCGGGACTGCTTCTGTATTTTGTTTTTATGACTAAAGTTGCTAAAATAAGTGCTTAAAAGGGTAAACATAAGTTTAGTACTTTATCTGCTATGTTGGGGTGAATTTCGAGATGGTTTACCCAAAACTAGGGCTTATCCATTTTCTCAAAATTATATTTGGCTGCAAAATAATTTTTTATTTCTAGAGTTTCCTCTTGCAGTATGTTTGGAAGCGCATCTATTTCATCGTGAATAGGGTTTGATCCCAAACGATAAGGATATCATACGAGTTAGGAATGTATTAGGCTTAAATTCATCAGCAAGATGTTGCGAATGACTTGATATTGCGGCATTGATACCAGGTTTATTAAAAACCATCTTCTGTTATATTGATAATGATTTAGAAAAACGTGAATCCTTGCATGCTAAAATTTTACGATTCCTGAGCTGCAGCTTAATGTGTGCGATAGTATCCTTATGTTTGAATTATCACCTTGAAATTTTAAGTTTAATAAATTCAACTGATAGAATATATCTGATAGATAAGCAAATAGAACTTGGTCCTGTGGCACCTTGAATTCCACAGACAATTCACTTTGATTTTGAATTTCCAAAAGCTGAATTACTTCTTCTCGAGGTTCAAATAACCTAAAATATTTGCATTCGAAAGCCAGCCCAGAATTGACAACTTTCTAAGATATGAAAGATTATTCATCGCATTGGCCAGTTCTGCCTATCTTTTTTTGATTGACCCGATCGACTTGATACGATTTTTCAGAAAATTGATTTTGTTTTATTCGCACCCTGCGCAGCCTACGCCTTCCTTTACATGTCATCACGACCAACACCACCACCCCCCTCCCCCCAAAGGGAAGCGCTGTCCACTTTAAAAAATTAAAACGATTTTGGAAAGATTCGGTTTTTTCCGTCACTCTCCTGAAGTATTTGGAACTTCGAAACTTTCTATGTGGCATTTTTTTAATTACCTAAATGCGCAAATTTGCCCCAATTGAAGCGACTTCGTATCTCATACAGTTTCCGAGATCCCAATGGTAAGGGTCGAATTTGAAACACCCAAAAGCAATAATTACGAAAAACAAAAGTAATAAATAGTTTTCTTATAATATAAAACTAACTAAACAATTTATAACTATTTGTTATGGTATGATTGTCTTCGAAAATTCCTCATACCCACTATTAATGAATTGACAAATTCCTAATAACGCTTAATGACCAAGATCCATTACTACATGGCCAGTATCAGTCTCATAATATTGATGGTACCTTTTGGAATATTTGGACAACAAAGTTACATGCACATTTTGAAATGACCTGAAATCGACATTAACTGGCTTTGGCACGGAAAACCTACTTCTAGGAAAATTAACATAATGTGCATTGTTGCATCACTTTAAACCTATTGATGTAAGTCATTATCCTGAATACGTATTTAAACTAAATTTGTTTTTCATTGCACATATAGTATATAATAATACGTAAAATAGTTACGAACATGTACAATGGAGAAATTAAACTAAATTAAACACATCAAGTCACCCAAACACCGCCGCAGTACGACCTGAACAATCCAGCAGGTCGTTACGCCGGTCGCCGACGGCAAGTAGCATAAGAACACGCGTATCGAAAACATTTTTTAATCATCTTCAAGTTTTAGAGACAAATGTAGAATGACTAGAATTAGCGGGGTTGCGGGCGTATAAATATACTAACTTACAAACACCCTCTCCCTAATTTTTCATCTCAAAAAATTACGTTTGGGCGTTTTTATTTACTTCTTTTTTAGCCTTTTTCTCCGACGCCACAGGACCGATTTTCAAAAGCTACAAGGCGTAGTAGTAACCTTGAGTAAACATTTCATACAAACGACATATAACATCCAAAAAACATATCTCATTTTTAAATTGTTCGCGACTACAATATTTCCTCGCTCAGTGGCGTAGAAAGTAAGAAGCAAAGGCAATTTAAAGAATTAATAAATCTGATAGTATTGATCATGTTGATTCCTTTGACCTGTATACAGTAATCATAATTCCCACCTTTAAGCAACATACACTTAAGAATAGTTCGCAAAAGAGGTATCTTTACTCCTGTGTCGGTAAAACACGGAATCCATTCGCTTCCCGACATAAAATGATAGCCCCTACCATGGACGGACAAGTTAGTGACGCCCACCATCATAGGCGACTCATCAATTAGGAGAACTAATTCATCATGCTACCAGCCTTGGCGTACTATGCAAATGCAAAAGTTGCAGAAACTAAACACAGGCTGAATAGAATTTGTTTGCTTTGACTCTGTTACCAGACCAACCGCATACAATGTTGTTTCATACTTGTTATCACTCATAAGTACCGTTATCGGCATGGTCCTTGAGACAGTCAACTGATAGTAAACAAGCGGATATGGTCTAATGATTGTAAAATGGGTTTCATGCTTCACCGACATAAGAGTCGGAATACTGCTTTCGCAATGTCACCTACTCACGCACTACTATTACAGTCCTCTTTTTGACTTAGTTGTAGTAACTAGTGTAGGATTATAAAGAAACATATTTGCCTTACTAAGAAATACAAAATTAGGTAACATTATAGAGTAGATAAAAGCGAGAAGTCGCCAGTTACTCTGTTATAAAGGTATTGCTATAATAGAAGATATAGCAGAATAGTGTTTTACCATAAATCCCCACAGCCTTTAACATATTGGTAGCTTCATACGAACATTGCTCAAATGCTTATAATATTTGTGGAATTTGTGGAACATAGAATCATTATGTTCCTTCTTTACCTTTACCATTTGTGGGTGCGGTACTGGCAATATTGCTATCTACGCGAGGGATGTGGGATGTTCCTTTTTTACTATAACATACCAATAAATAGAAAAGGACCAGCAGGAGATAACATATTTGATATTGGTATATAAGTGGAGCAAACTTACCCTTCCGGTTATATGCAACAATATCTCTTCTTACTCACTCAAGCACTGACACTGAACTGGATGTTAAAAAAAGATTATGAACCCGTTTTGTGATAATGTGTGTGATATATCTGCTTTGCTGAGTTATTACAAAACAGTCAATATACATACATTTATACACTCATTACTCAAATTAGATACTGACATCATGTTGCTGCCTGAATTTTTATCTTCGGCAAACACCTCTGGACTCACCAAGAAATCAAAGTTATCACAAAATTCATAAACATTTACTGGGCTGCTAATATTTTCATTATCGCAAATATGCCATCTTCATTGAGAAGCTGATCTGGTGTAATTTTTGTCATATTATTTGATACTGGCATACAGTGCTCTTAAAAAGGTTCTTCCTCCTACTTACTTTTTGAATGGACCAAATTGGTAAGTCGAAATTCGATCGCTGGAGTAGGATACCCTGTATGTATGTGTATCAGTTTTTGAAATTTCACTGGTAAAACAAGTAAATGGCTGGTTCTTTTTCCAAGAGAAAAAGGGTGACTGAGGCCTATACATAAAGAACCTTGGCAACGATAATAGCGTGCTGAAAATGAATAGGACTTATTTTAATATTAGAACGCTTATGGTAGGAGATATAGTCGATGAAGGTGACCGTGACTGAACCACAGAGATCTGTCATGGGGCCGTTACTTTAATTTCTATTTATTAATATTTAATTTTTATTTATAGTATTATCCTAAGCCAGAGGCTCTGCTCGCTTAGAAGTTGTGGGTATAGGCTTTGCACTAGTGACTAGTCTGTAGGAGATTGGTTCCGGAGAAGGAAATGCAATATTTAAAGTAATGTAATAGTTACTTTGGAAATGGACATTTCATTCAACATTTTAATGCAACAATAATATCAAATGTGTAATCAGAATCACAATAAATAATACGTGAAGTATTTCACAGCCTGTGTGGCATATCTTAACATAGCCTAACCCAATAACTATTTGCTCACAATATTGTATTTGAAGTAAAACGAAATACCAAAAAAATCTAAATCAAGACGATCACGCTAACAATATGCATGTCGAAATTCAGTAAATGCACGACGCAAATGAACTATGTGTACAAGGTTTAATTTAATTGATGGCTAAAAATACAGGATATGATTCCTTAGCTCATTTTAGGAAGAACAGTTTATATGAACATATGTCGTGAACCTCTTAACTTTTCAGCTACAGGGTGTTAAAATTTTAAGAAAAAAAAATCGTTTTCATGTCATAACTTCAATATGTTCTAGATATTTTCATGGAATTTGACATGCACCTACTAAGCACCAATAGGCATTTTTTGATGTAGAATTTTTTAATATTTCTACCATTGGCGTCCGTACGGGATGTACGGGATGTTTTTAAAATCCTCATTTATTTTGCAACAAATTTAGTTACCTCTTGACTTTTTTCCGTCCGATGCACCGTTTTCGCGTAAAAAATAAAAACCATTTTGGCTATTTTAATCAATTGACTTTACTTGAAGAAAAAATAAACAAAATCACATCTTACCTACCACATGAAATTTTAGCGATTTTGCAATGCATGAAAATAAAAAAGTTTCCAACAAGTCTTGACAATTTCTGTGGATCAAATAAACTAATACTGTTTAATTTAATTATCACAAGAATTGTTGAAAATATTCACCTGCTGCTAGAATAGAGGTTTGAATACTCGTTCTCTTAGATTGGCGAATCCTTTCAAAAACTCCAGGAATATATCTTATGGTTTGGCAAGAAAGTAAAATTTCCTGACTTAGTGCCTCTACAGTTTGATCTGGTGTAGTATAAACTAAAGTCTTGAGGTGCCCCCACAAAAAATAGTTTAAACTATTTAAATCAGGGGAACTGGGAGGCCAAGATTGAGTTCCCCCACGTCCTATCGAGTGATTCGTAATCGCTTCATTTAGGAGTTCCCTAACATGAATGCTAAAATGTGCAGGACCACCATCATGCATATACCATATTTCTTCTCTTAATAAAAGAGGTACATCCTCGAGCAAAATTGGCATATCGTTTGGACGATAGGATAGTCCAACCACTCCTCCTGGAAGGAAGAACGGTTCTGTGGGGAAAATATCTAACAGCCCACACAACCACGGAAGGCTCCGTAATTGCGAATTGGCTTTCTTCGGCTCATACATGATATTATCAAATAAAGGGTTTTCATCAAGTTTTTCTAAAAACCATCGGCAAAAATTTGGACGCGGCAGTAGTGCTTGAACCCTTTGAATATGGCATTACCGCAATTTTCCTAGTACTTGTTTCTGGATGTTCCTCAAGTGTGTTTAAAACAACTACCTCCAATTCCGGTGTTCTCACCATGCGATGTGCCTCTTTTTAACTATTGTCACTGCTAAGACTACCAGTTTCATGTAGTCTTCTGTGTATTCTAGAAATCATTCTGGCATCGGGAATGATACGATTAGGATACCTTTCTTGATATGTCCGCATAGCCATGAGCGCATTCCCATCTGCTAGTCCGTAGGTAAAATGCATAATTGCTAACTCGAAATTTGTAAATCTTGGCTTAATTTACTTATTTTCTCTTCATTATTGATTAAAGAAACTTTCACAATGTAAAAAACTATCACGTTTATGAATACTTATAAAAATAAGACAGCAACGTAATCGATCAAATGTCATTATTTTAAAAACAAAATAGTGCACCAGCCTATTGGTTAAAAATAATTTCGTTATACCACAAATGCAAGAAAATGTTTTTAATTTTTTTTACGCAAAAACGGTGCATCGGAAGGAAAAAAGTCAAGAAGTCAAATTTATTGCAAAATAAATAAGGATTTCAAAAATATTTCTTTTTTTGTAAAAAGGAAGTGTACCATTATTTTGAAAAATTTCGCGTATACGCGTACGGACGCCACTGGTAGAAATATTAGAAAATATTCTACATCAAAAATTTCGATTGGTGCTTAGTGGGTGCACATCAAATTTCATGAAAATATCTAGAAGAGTATTAAAGTTATGATAAGAAAACGAATTTTATCTTAAAACTTTATCTCCTTGTAGCTCAAAAGTTAAGAGGTTCAGGATATATGTTCATAAAAACTTTTCTTCCTAAAATGAGCTAAGGAATCAAATCTTGTATTTTTGACAATCAATTCTATTACACCCTGTATACCCTTAACGCGCTGGACAACTCATGTCAAATTGCATTAAGCTGTTCAGATATTGGAAAGCTACTTCATAGGATAAAAAGCCTATGTGCTGTTACAGACTATAATCTATCTCTGTACCAACAAAGTAAACATCCACACTTTCTCATTTAAAATAAGTATAGGGATTTCTGAGAAAAATGCAAAATACGCCAATCTATAACTGAACATCTTTGGCCAACTGTCATTAATGCATGTTTAGGTGGTATGTACCCTTAAATTTGACCATTAAATTAAATGGTGATCCATTTGAAAAACAGGAGCTGTATTCAAATCTCGTTTCAAAGTTAAAACCACCATAAACAATAATCACAATCTTTTATTTTACAATGACAGCACCATCTATAATTTAAAAATTGGTATAGAAATATTTTGAAGAATCTAAAGAGGAAATTATGTTTTAAAAGAACTTTTCCACCCCCACGTCGCATTGAAACTTATATCAAATTTTCCATTTGAAAAGCATACAAATCTAATTTTGCCATGATCTTGTTGAACGTCTTGTATGCAAAATTATATTACGTTGTACTCCGTTATTTTTTGACACTATATAAGTTTGTTGTGACATTATGTAGGTTTTTGTACATGATGTCAACTTAGCACTAGCTGTTGTATACGTGTTGTGTACCTGTTGCGTAACTGTACGTGTTGCTTAAACATCATGATGATTCAGCTATCAATGTTTGACTCTGATGTGATGTAACAGCTTTTGAGAACGCATTATTGGAGGTCTAAGCTGTAAATTGTATACTCAAGCTGGAGCTGGAAGGAAACGGCGGTGGATAGATGCATATTGAGGATTTGTGTGCTAACAATAATTTGTGTTGATGATACTTCCATTGGTCCCATGTATCAAATACAGTTAGTTGCGCATCCGCTTTTTCTTATTCAACCTGGAAATTTCATATGCAAATTTGCTGTATTTCAGAAAAGAGAGCGATAAGAAAAGAAAATCCCTGATTGGTGAAGTATATCAAAACTAACAGGTGAGAAAATATGATACATACAGTAATATTTACGAAACGTAAAAATTTATTACACTTCACATTAATTTTTATTTCCAGTCATTTAAATTTTATAGGTTTTTACTTTATGTTGTCAAGTAGAAAATACAAATGAGCGCCTTGCCGTGAGGCAGTGTGAACATGTTTTGTATGTGATGCGTCATTCCTAATTTTTCTTTGATGTGGCTTAATTACACACAACGCGGGTGCGGTGCTGATTTCTCGTAATGCTTCTCAAAGTTTTTGAAAATGCAAAGAAAAACGGGAACAATCATAATGTATAACTTTGAACATAACCTCTCTTCTGAAAGGACAACACAAATAACCCGTCACAGCTAATAGATATATTTCATATTCAGTAATAATTTTCTCACAAAGTAAATCTCTCTGATTTTATACACATGCACCAATACACAATCACCCAGAAGTGATCTTGCTACACTGCTATTTAACCACACATCTTCTCAGAGTATACTCTACGTACTTTCTCGACATTCTGCAACCAACAGAGCATGTTAGGGGATTGAGTTTCCATCATTCACACCTAGATGAACGCTCACAGCACAAGTTGACATTTTGTCGGTGTTTTACGTGATCGCCCTGCAGATCTATATTTCCATATAATAATGTCACCAAAGGCTTTAACTTTAATCGCCCTGATTATTGGAATATAAAAAGAAAAAGCTTATATAGTCGTTATCATAAAATGTAATTATAATAACACCATATATATTTATTATTTATAATTCGGCTGGTATTTAATTGAATTGCAATTCTCTAATTATTTGCCTCCATCGACTTTAATATTATCATGCCGATTCAAAAATAAATACAAGATTTCTCTGTACCTCTATTATACTTGATGCAACAACTGTTATCAACCGTCAAAATGCGTGAATTAATGAAATTATCAAGAATTTTATTGATTAGGAAACTCTGGCAGGTCAGGCCATGCGTACCGTCTGGTTGTTCGTTGCCGAGTGAATAAATACCAAGCTCACGCCGTC